CAGAAACTTTTTGTACTATCGTTACAACTTTTCTGTAAACCTATTTTTGAATGAGCAGTGCTATCAAATCAAATTGCACATATTTTCTCTAAATATTTTTTGTATTAACAAAAATTCAAGCATTCTCAAAGACGGGCTTTATGAGCCTACATATTTGTGGAGTGTTTTCATGTCTAGGGCGACTTTACCTGCAATTAATCACTGTGCTTCCCCAGCAGCAGTGATTTTGTTGTAAGGTACTAGCATGGGTGTCACTGGGGCCTCCAAAGCAGGGCTGAATGCTGCCAGTAAGCAACCTTTGGTATGGTATGCCCTTTGGTTTCTCCCCCTTTTCCAAAGAGAACAGCTCTTCCTTGAGGACCTGACACAGGCAAAGCATTTCATGATGGGGCTACACAGCTGAATGTGATTCACAACCCTGCAAGTTTTCAGCAGTCATTCAGGAGGCAAGACTTTAGAGATAAAATTATAATTTGGGATCTATAAATAGCAAGTGATTCTAAGAGGATGGGTGACTTCTTGACAAGTCAAAAATGAAGGTTATTGTTCCTTTTTGTTTTCGGTGAAGAAAGCCCTACGCACCATCAGAGATCTTTTTAGTTTTGCAGTTCGCAGTCATGTTGTTTTTTTTGTTTGTTTGTTTTTGTTTTTTTTTTGTTTGTTTGTTTTTCTCCGGTACCGGGAACCGAACTCACGACCTTGTGCTTGCCAGGCAGGCGCTTTGCCACTGAGCTAAATCCCCAGCCCCATGTTGTTTTATTCCATAGAGTATTTTTAATGCTCAGAGTTCTTTTACTATCATAAGATCTCATAATTGCTGCTTAAGGGAAGAGGTTTTCCTTTTCTTCCACAAAAATGGACCTCAAGGAGGTAGTGCAATTTACAGCTATGGAACAGGTTAGTGCCAGAGCTGGAAGTAGAACTCAAGCCTTTTTGACACTTCTCAAAGTTTAATTTGCAGACATCACCTAGGAGATCTTGTGAAAATGTAGATTCAGATTCACTGGCCTTAGCTCGGGCAAGAAATGCCACGTTTCTAACCGGGTTTCAGGTTACTGCTGGCCTTGACAGTGCGCCAAGTAATCTAACAGGTTGGGCGTTAATTTCCACTGGTTGGGTTTCCCTGTGCAACACTCCACTTGGCAACACAAGATTTTGATGATGCTAGCAAAAAAAAAAATGTTTTCCACCTCAAAACAATATTTTAATGCTGTTCTCAAGCAAAATCAAATGAGTTTAAGATTAAGGGATGGATTTCAGTCTGTGTGATACCTTCCTTCTGCACATAATCCACTGTAATTATCAGGCAGGATAGGCAGCTTGTGCACTAGTGACCAGGACTGAGCTAGGTGGATGCTTGGATACTCCAACATTTTCTTACCTTTATGACTTGGCTCTATAGGATGTTATGTGTCAATCCTAGGTACATTTGTTCTCAGAAATTTGCACCTGTGCATATTTTGGTAGTTCACACAACAGAAAACTAAGCACCTTTGCAGTTCACTCTGGTCTCAAGACATGCTAGGTGTCAAGAACAAAGTGTTCGTGTTTTGAGTATTCTGTGTGGCTCTGTGGGTGGCATTCCCCCAAAGGGCCCAGGGAGTCTCCTTTGCCCAGTGGATGAAATCTCGTTTGTAACCACACCACATCCAAAATGCTGGGCGGAGGTAGCTCAGTGGCACAGTGCCTGCCCAGCAAGTATGAGGTCTTGAGTTCAATCTCTAGTACCAAAAAAACAAAACCAGAAACAAAAACATAATGCAGCTCAGCATGGCATGGTTTTGCTGTCCGAAGTTTGCATGAGGAGGAGCCATCTCTTCCCAGAAGCTAGATCTGGTTTGGGGTAGATCCATGGGTTTGTGTAGGTCTAGCACGGAGAAGGGGCACCTAGTGTAGCATCCTTGTCCCTCCCAGTACTCTGGGATGGAGCTGGGGGAGGCAAAAGCTGACAACCCAGACTCATTCTTTAAACAGCAAGCATGACTGTTTGGCTCTTTCCTTACAATCAGATTGGTCAGTGAAGTCCTAGCTTTCATCAGTATCTCTTTGATGCCATGACAGCTCTAAGTATGACTGAAGGAGGGACAAATACAACACCATTGATGTCCTTCCAAATATCATGTACATCCTGGGTTAGCTTCAAGGCAAGAAAACCTGAATTGTGCTGAGCTCAGACATTACCCAGAGGTCATTAGGCTGCAAGTGTGTGTGGAGGGGTGATGTTATACTAGGGCAGGAGAATTTTTTTCTTTTTGAGACAGGGTCTCCCTATGGAGTGCAGGCTGGCCTTGAGCTCACTCTGTAGCCCAGGCTGGCCTCGAACTCACAACGATCCTCCTGCTTCAGCCTCCCAAGTGCTGGGATTACAGGCGTGTGCCACCACACCCAGCTGGAAAATTTTACGAAGATGTATTTCTTACTTATCATTGTTCTTTTTCAGTGTTTCACTCAGCTAACATGCTGAGTTCCTACAGGCATGTAAAGCTCCATACTAGCCACGGGGGAGGGGGGGGTAAAATAAGAAAAAAAAAAAAAGATGGCTCCAGTCTTTAAGGATTCCACACCAGACCTGAGAAAGAAACAAAACAAACATGCCAGAGTCCTCCATCTTCAAAAAGAGTGCTTCTGATTCCTACGGCAAGAGAAGACTTTAAAGGGGAAGTGAAATTACAGCAGAATCTGAAGAGATAGATAGTATTATAATGTAAGCGAAATAAACAAGACACTTAATAATTACAAGGTCTCTGAAAAATGTGGGCTAGGACAGCTCCATGGAGCGAAGCTGTGGAGGACAAGGCTGGAGAGGGAGGCTGAGTCGCGTTGCCAAGCGTCCCAGAAACCAAGGCCAAAGAGTTAACTCTGTCCTAATGGCAGTCAAAACCACTGAAGTTTAGTAATCTCCAGATTTCACTTCTAAGGAAAACTCATGGGGCTTCTTGAGATTAATACATAATTTTTTAAGGTAAAAACACATTTTTTAAAAATTTTAATTCCTTGGCATTCACCATACTAAAGAGCTAGTTTAGTTCTTATAAACCCAATTGCCTAAGCTTTGCCCTACCACTGGTTCCTTGGTATTGAGAAAAAATAACTTCTCTAGGCCATAATTTCCTCACATGTAAACTAAAGGGATTAATGAAGACCATTTCTAACATTTCTAAATGAATCACTCCACTTCTAATCAATTCTGATCCTCCTGTTTGACTTTCCCCATAACCGAAAAGAAAAACCTATTACTAGACCACTTAAATATTGAAACATTTTAATTATTTAAATTTACAGATCTGTTCCATCACATCCCAAAGTAGAAATCTATTCCATGGTAACTATGCATTTTATACTCAGTGGAAAAAAAATCACGTAGTTTCTTTAGTATCTTTGTTACAAAAAGTATCTATGGAGAATAATGACCATTTCTTGCACTGATTATCTAATAATTAATTTTATGATTTTTTTCATGATAGGTTAAAACCTGTAAAACAAAATTGCAGCAAAATAGATTTTTAACAAAATGTGACATCTTGAATGTCACAGTAGTAATCACTAATTTGACATTTGCATTTTTCTATCATAAGAAACATCAATAGGTTTGTTATAGTTGATACACTGTGTCAACTTGGGGAGTCTAGAGGTTTAGCTAAGTAACTCAGCAGGAAGCCAGGGTGCTTACTTTGTATACATCCTAAGCCTGTGGAAGAGGAGGGCATGGAGATTACGTGAGAGCTACATGCCTGTGGGTGGCGGTAGCCTGTTTACAATGTAAGGGAGAAAAAGAGGCTGCTTGCCACGATTTCTCCCTTTTGCTCTGGCTGCATTGTTGTTCCGCTGCCATTCCCCCCTTTGCTCTTATTGCTTTGCTATGTTCTGCCTCGCAGTCAGCCAAATATGGACTGAAACCTCCACAAACTGTAAGCTAAATAAACCTTTCCTTCCTTCATTTTGGGCATTGGGTATTTTGTCTCAGCAATGAGAGAAAAGTAACCCAGACAAGGTTAAATTAATTTTCAAAGGAAATTGCATTCATAAAGATCAAATTAATTTTTCTTTCTTTAAATTGGCAATGAAAACAATTAAAAAACTTTTCTGAAAGCAGAAACAAAATGCTCAAGAAAATGTGTTTTGTGAAAGTTTTGCAATCATTTCTATGGTATCTATAGAGTGAATCAAGAAACCTCAGTTCTAGTTTCTGCTCCCTCAGAAGTCTATGACGGCAAATACCATTTATCTGATTTACTTTTTCTTTGAAATACCGAAATTATCATTATGCTTACAGTTGCGTGTTGCTTCTGACCCAGACTGAAGGACACTTGAGTGATGGGAGCCTCAATCAGAGGTGATATCAAAGCTCTATCTCCATCTACCACATTACCCAGTACTCACTAAATAAATGTGTATTTCACATGTGAATTGAGGCAGTTGTAGTTAATTTCCCATGCCCTTTATAGCTTTGTTTCTGTGACATATAGGAATTCAAATCAAAGCTCACTTTTTTCCCCCAGTTTCATTTCCAGTCTTTTACTGCTCATTAGTTCTTTCTACCTATAGACATGTATTTTCTCATCAGTACTTTCTAACTAATCCAGCTTGAAGATAAAGTAGTACAGTTACTTAGCGTGGGAGTAGGTTTCGATAGGAAAAGCTCTAAAAAAGTGATATGGCATTTGCTGTTGAAAGCAATTCCTAAAATTACAGCTTGCATCAAACACAGTAATTTTCAAATAGGACTGAGGGGTGTGTCTCGATGGCAGAACATCTGCCCAGAGCAACTCCCAGGGTTCCATCCCCAGCATCACAAAAACATGAAAAGAGTAAGTAAAGGCAAATCAAACTTCAGAACGATCTCTAATGGAAAATCTGATGATGTTCAAAATTTTGCAGATGCTAAATCACAATGAAGTTTTCCTAGTGTATCTACTAGTGAGCCCAACATAATACAACTTCATATGACATTGTAACAACAGAACACCAGCACCTCAGGGAGAACAGCCATGGCCCTACAGTTGAATATACAGGTATACATTTCTTTAATGTGAGTCAAATCCCATTATAATGCATCCTGTTACAATGAAAACCTTAAATTACTTTGCAAGACCACTTAGTAACAAATATAACTTGACAAATACAATGAAATAATTAACAATGCCTTAAAACATGAGTCAAATCAGTTATTAGATAATGGAAACAACCTCAATAAATTATTTATTCTCATACTCCGCTCTGTATTAGATGAAACATAAAATTCAACTGGAAAGGCAGATCAAAGAATTGTGCTTTTTCCTGGAACCAGACTTGGATAATGCAACTATATCCTAATTGGAGAAGTATTTAGTTCATTTTGCTTTCACTGTATTTTTCATGCTACCCATTTCATTACAAACCTTACATCTGTGTCTCTAGGTACTATTTCTTTAAAGTACAAGATAACACTAGGCATTCTTTAAAATAATTTTCTATTAACTATAAAGGTACACTCAGATAAGAACTCTGTAAAGTCATTTTCTTTTAGAAAAACATCAAATATTCAGGAAACTTTATTTTTAAACAATAAATCAAATAAGACACAGCTCTCATTTACTCAAACATGCATAATTCAACCTGAATATAAAATGCACTCAACTAGTAAATCACACATGAAATACAAAAGGAATGCAATTTTATACATATAAAGTGATTGATGGTTATAGCATTTAACAGTCAAATTAATCAAAATATTGTACAGGTTTAAAAAAAACCTTAAAGCCAATTATCTATAGTAAACAAAGGGAAACTGTGATATGGAATGATTCAATTCAAAGCAAAGAATAAGGCACCTGCTATAACTTTAGAGCAGTAACTTTCAGTTTTAGTTATAATAAAATAGAATTAACCAAGATCTGTTTCAAGGAGAGAAACAAGCGATTTATTGGGTGAGAAAGGCAGGTAACAAATTAGTTTCAAAAAACCCTGCTGGCCCCAAAGCCAGCTGATTCCTTTCCTATTAGAGCAGTTAAGTTCCTATACCGTGTCCTTAACCACTCTTTTACTTTCTTCTATATTTGAGAGTATTAAAGTCCTTATGAAGTTCACAATGTGTGTAGACTAGGTAGCAATTTCCCTTCTGTTCCTCTTTAAAAAGCTTATTTAAAAGAGATATCCTGAGGAAATCAACAAAGCAAACAAGCAGCCTTGTTCCAATTCTTAATACACAGACACTGTGTTTGGGCTTTTTTGCACTAAATTATGGCTAAGTGTATTAATAGCCAATACTTGCAGTTTTCAACAAACTTGCATATTAGAAAACCTAAAACCTACCTTATCACCCTTGCCCTCACTATTCATAAAAGAAAATGATCAATCATAACCTATAAAATCATACAAGGCCAAAAACTGATCAGTATCAGTAAATCCATTTAATTCCAAATGCCACCTTAGTCAGATGTGTCTAGTATCCTAAGGGAATTTCAATCATAAACATAGAAAAAGCATTTCCAAACTAAGCATAACTTATTGGTTGGTGTGCTTTTTTGAAATTGTGTTTTGATATTAAAAGTGCTCCTAACATACCAAGATGTCATATAGCACACTGGACTCCACAGTATGAGTTGATGAGGCATCCATTTCTAGCATTTTTCCCTAAAATTTTGTCTAACATCGTTAACCCCTTTGATATATTAAAATTCTGGTGAAATCAGCGTGACATAAACAAACCTTCCCTGCTTTTACTCCACCATGTAGATTTCAGTGAAACCAGAGTAACTGCTTAGGTTACAAAATGCTCAACTACGTTTTTTTCTTACAATGGGTTCTGAGGTTACTATACTCATGCATGCAAAATCCAAGGTAGTGTAACAGAAATAGTAACATTAAAATAGATGTAGCTATCAGCGTCTCCACTTACATTACGCATTTAGCTTTTAAAATTTTAGGTGCTAACAGTTGTGGCAAAACTAGGCTGTATACTTCCTCCATTTACATATAAGCACCTTATTACAGGATAATTACATGGCCCTGTAATAGAGTGTGCTTTCAATTCAAGAGTAATAAAGTGCCTAGCTATACAAAAACCTCAAGATTCCAAATTTTAAATTAAGCTAATTGCATTTAGATATTAGGGTTAATAAAATCTAGACCCTGTCTACACAGATTTAATCTAATTACCCACACTGCATACTATTTTAATAAACACATAAAAAAAAACCTCTTTACTGGCTGAATAAGGGTCCGCTACTATAGCTTAACAATCAAATTTTATTGCTTTACTCATATGGTGCTTTTGCAAGGCACTGTGGTATGGACTAGAAAATCTGGAATGACTTGTGAAGAAACCTTGGAATGACACATGAAGGATGGTTTGAAAGTCATTTGAGGCAGGATGCTTTACTGAATTGTTTTTAACCAAGGTATCAAACATCAGGAATGAGTTCAAATTAAAATTCACAGGAGAATGGAAACATCTTAAGGTCAGTCACTTCACATGCCCATCCTGATACTCTGAATAATCTGGAAAATTGCTGTAAAGAAAAAGAGCAAATATTAAAATAAGCTTTGAATAAAATAGGTCTTGTGACTGAAAAATATCTATTAAGATAGCTGAAATTATAATCATTTGCAAATGCTATCTACCTTCAGTATATTAAGTGAAGACAGGCCTATCTTAATAAATAAAACAATTGATGCCCATAAGGAGTTACAGTTATTATTTTATTTTTAGTGTGTGTGTGTGATGCCAGGGATTGAACATGCTGGGTAAGTCCTCTACCACTGAGCTACAACCCCAGATTAAATTATTATTTTTGAATCTCAGCTTCCCTGAATTTTATGTGTAAGTATCAAAGAGAGCTTGCAGGTGGGGAAGAACTTAAGCAAAAAAGCAAACAGGTTTTTCTAGCACAGTAATTTTTTTGTCTATCCCTAAATAATTAAGCATCCTTTTTAAGACCTGGCCTATAACATGTGCATATTTCCTCATTCTCACAAAGCTGAAATTTAATAATCTTTAGATTATGTAAACCGCTTGGCTCTTAGCCATTTATCAGGAAAGCTTCCAACTGATAGGTTTAGGAGAAAGGCAAAGAAATGTTAAATATAAGTCTTACTGGGTTGGGGATATAGCTCAGTGGTACAAATGCCTGCCTAGCAAGCATAACGTCCTGAGTTCGATTCCCAGTACCAAAAAAAAAAAGCAGTCTTATTAACTTTAGAATGTGGAGAACAGAATCATCTACTTCAATAGTAACATTTTGCATGTTAAGATGGTAAATGAAGAGAAGACATTCTGTAACACATTTCCAGAAACAAGAATCTGTTACTGTAACAGCAGGATTCCCTGATAACTAACTTTTCTTACCATATGTCAAACGTTTCTTCTAACCTAAAAGCATTTGTCTCACACATTAAATTGCCCAACAGGTACACTTCCTCTATTGGCAATTCTCTCTACCAGCTAAACTTTCTAAAATATACCCAATCTTTTCCATTAAAGATTGTAAGACTGGTACAGTTAAATTCTGACGTTCATATGTACAGTTCATGATGTCCGTAAGTTTCTCTGCAAAGGCACGGATCATGGGGTTGCAAGCCATCCTAAATTCTCATTTCCTCAGGTCGCCCCCCCAACTCGATCGTTACCGAAGACCTGACCTCTTTTCGCATCTCCCGTGAGCACAAAGCAAGCTGGGAGAAGTTTCTGGAGCACTACCCTCCGTGCCTATGTGGGGCAAATATTCGGTTCAGAAGAAACGCTACTGTGCGGTGCTCTGGACAGGGGGGCTGACAGCTCTGCCGCAGGGCTCACTAGCGATCCGTCACACGTCACCCCAAACCCTTCACCCAGCACCCCGCCCAACAGGAGCCCCCAAACACTTACCAGAGCCACAAACAACAAAAATGAAAAGGGCCAGCAGCCAGGGTCCTACCGACGCCTTCTCTTCGGGGGCATTTCTCTGCAAAAGGGAAATCCAGTTTCAGGGCGGAGAACCCGCCTGCGCCCGGGCTCCCACCGCTCGCTGCGCCCGGCCAGGTCACCGGGCCTGCCCTCCCTCGCAGGTGCCCGGGGCCCGAGCCCGGAGCCTGGCGTCTGCCTCTCGCCCGAGGCCGGGGCGGCCGGGCCGGGACAGCTCGGCGGGCCGGGGCGCGGGCTTCAGCGGCCGCTGGGAACGCGAGGCCCGCTCTCCGCTTACCGAGGTCTTGGCGACGTTGCCGCGCTGGGTGATGTTCTTGCTGTGCTTCTCGTTGGCCATACGGATCCGCTGCTTGGCGACCATCTTCCCGGCGCCACCACCCGCCCCGGCCGCCGCCCGGACTCGCTCGCTCGCCCCCCGGGCGCTGCGAGGTTCCGC